AAATGCTTTTAAAAGTTAAAAAAAAAGAGAAGCCTCTGATGATTGTGCAGCTCAGCTGGGCATGGTGGGGGGAGGGGCACAGGGATTTTTGCTACCGGTTCTCTGAACCACCTGCCACCATCGCTACCGGATCAGGTGATCCGGTCCGAACCGGGAGCATTTCACCCCTGGAATAGTATCAAAAACCTGCATTTCCAAAAGGGTACTGGAACTCAAATGGAAATAAAATAAAATTGGGGAACAGCTGGAACCCATATGTGATGGCTTGGAAAAATAGACACGATTTACTTATGGAGTGATTGTACAACATGTTTGATATATGTGTGAAAACTGTACCAGTACCTGACAATTGGAAAAATACCGTTATTGTATTTCAAGACAAAGGGAAAGGTAGCAAGAATGAATGGAAGAACTACAGGGAGGTTAGTTTGTTAGGTGTGTTGGGGAAAATGTTTGCAGAATTTTATCCAATGAGTAAAGAGATGACAATAAGTCCCCTTTGGGAAGTGTATTGTGATTTTGTGTTGGTCATAGATTGTGCAGAATAGACTATTGTTCTTCAACTGTCATGGGGAAAATATATATTTATGAGAAAAAGCATATTGTACATTTGCTGATTTAGATGATAGGTAGGAATTACAGAGCTTTTGCACAAATATGGAGTTAAAGGTGGGTTGCTGAATATGACATGAGTAGTAGATGTTGAAATTGAAGCATGCAGAGAATAAAAATAAGGCTTAGCAAATGATCCAAAACTATCAGAGAGTAAGACAAGAATATATGATCTCCCCTTTGTTGCTTAAATGGATCAGTGTTTCAGGAATGCTTGTGGTAATGTTAGAGGAATGTTAGCTGGAGATGTGAATGGAGGTGAACATTTCTATGCTGATTGTGATGTGTAAAGCAATGGTGGCGCAGTAGTTAGAATACAATATTGCAGGCTAACTCTGCCAACTGCCAGCAGTTTGATCCTGACTGGCTCAAGGTTGACTCATCATTCCATCCTTCCGTGATTGGTAAAATGAGGACCCAGATTGTTGGGGGCAATATGCTGACTCTGTAATTCTGTTTAGAAAGGGCTATAAAGCAGTATGAAGTGATATATAAGTCTAAGTGCTATTGCTATTGCTAGTTGACTGAGAAACTGAGTGGAAATGTAGGACTGCAGTAGTTGCATGGATAATTAATTTGTAAGGATAGCAAGAAAGGAGAAGTATTAGTGAATAATATTAGTACAAACTAGAATTATGCATATTTCTCTTTTTGTTGTTTTATGCCTTAATTTCTTTAGTTTACTAATTTCTTGCATAACATTGCTTATTCTGGAAAAAAAATGTGATGAGCATGTATGTATCTGCCTATACAAAAAGATAAGGCAGAGTGTTTTTAGTGGTGGGAGATGTCATGGGGCATCTCCTTAGTTTTCCTCCTGATAAACCTCTTTCTTGTTTTTGGGAGAAAGTTAATTCCCCTAGCCCAAAATGATTGAGGCCCCAAATAAACAAGTTTAAACAATATAGCTGGCTTTGAAATGAGGAAAACATGTATTACACAATCCATTCACAATACTTTTGTATAAATTCATTGCTAATATTAGAATTTTATTCTCCATTCACACAATACTAGAAACAAGAGCTCCTTCGTGCACACATGTTTAGCTGATACAAGGATCAGAGATTAAGTTTTCTCCCGTCACCTCACATAAACATTGTTTCCTTCCCAAATTTTGAAATTTGTAAATTGACATGCCGTTTTCCCTTATGGCGTTTGTGTTATCTGGATTTTCCCCCCATCACTGGACATATAGGAAGATATCAGGTTATTATTCTATAGTGCAGTCTAACTGGAGTTCATTTATTAGGTGTCTGTCTAGCATTCCTGCACTACAATCATAAATTAAAAATTGGCTGTGTCAACCAAAAAGCATATAACAAACCGATATTTTTAGCAAGCTGTTCATATGGGCTTGTAAGATCTATGGCCTTGAAGGTTGGTAGTTCAATGAAAAGGCAAATGTTTATAAGGAGTTATATAGCTAGGCATTCAGAAATTACTATTGAAAACTGGAAGATATGCAAGGTTAGATTAAACCTCAACTCTGGAGGGTCTAATTATACAAAGTCTGTCCCTCTCTCTTACTTTCTTACTTTCAGCTTGATTCAGCAACAGATTATCCCTTTTAAAGTATAACTATCAAAAAGTACAAATAGTCCTCATTTAGCGACCACAGTTGAGCCTGACAACTTGATTATTAAACAAAGTGGTTGGTGAATAAAACTATGATTCTGCTTATGTTCTTACTTTAGATTTCCTTTGCTTTATAGATCTACAAAGGTCACTAATATAAAGACCAGTTGTAAAGTTACTTTTCATCACCTTCATAACTGCAAATGGTTACTAAGTGAGACAGTCACTAAATGAGAAGTACCTGTAAAACAATCAAAAGATGGGGAGCGTATTCATGCAGCTATTTCCCCCGACTATGCTCTTATTTTAATTCTTACCAGTCATATATACTGTAATTATAGTCTCTTGGGTTAAATTTACAATTTCAAGGTGTTCTTTAGATCCTAGAATGGTCAGACTGAGTTTCTATGTCATGTTAATCCATGGTTTCTTTTAAATGCTGAATAAGCTACCACCTAGCTACACACAACTCATTCAACCATAAATCATGATTTATAAGTCATAGTGCTGGTTTTACATAACCATTGAAGGCCAAAACTTGTAGCTTAATGTAGTCTGTGAAGTTTATTATTCATCTTTCTTTCCTCCTCCTTCTATGTAAAATGCTATAACATGGAAGAGAACAGGCAATAATAACTGAAAGGTGAAAGCAGTGGAGATAGGGCTAATCAGAGAAAATAACTGAGTTGAGTGGTTAGTTGTGTTGCAGGTACTCAGGCTAGATAGCTGGTTTGGAGCAGTGGGACTTAGAAGCTAAGTGGCTCAGTTGATGTAAAGGCTGAAGGCCAAGCCAGACAGGAACATTATCAAAACAAAGTAGAGAGACCCTCCACATTGAAGGCTGAGAAACAAGCTACAAGAAGCCCATTATCATATAAGGATACCAGAAATATAAATAAAATTAGATTCTGTGCCTGTTAAAAATAATGGTATTGGTTGTATGATTCTACAATAGTTGATGTTTATAATTAGGACTGATGATATCTGTAATATTTTACTGTAACATCAGTAAAAACAGGCTGAGTCCTATCCTTGACTCTTCACTATTAGTTCCTGAGTGTGAATCTGAGTTTCTAGAAAAAAAAATATTGCTCTGAGTGAGACTCTGAAAAAGGTAAGTTTTGAGGAATGATTTTGTTGTTGTTAGTTGCGAAGTCGTGTCCAACCCATCATGATCCCATGGACAATGTTCCTCCAGGCCTTTCTGTCCTCTACCATCCCCCAGAGTCCATTTAATCTCACGCTGCCTGCTTCAGAGACTCCATCCAGCCACCTCATTCTCTGCCGTCCCCTTCTTCTTTTGCCCTCAATCGTTGGAGGAATGATTAGTAGAAGGAAATTAAAAAGATGGTATCTCCAAAGTCATGGAAGGCCATTCCAAGGAGCAGTGGGAGAAAAGGCAGAAGACTCTCTTGTGAGAGCATATCAGGACTTCTAATTACAGAGGCTTCTGGACAGCATGCCTATTCTAGGAATTACCAAGTCAATGGGTTAACAGCAAATCTTAAAAGAGAAATTTAATAGACCCCATATCACATTCTCCCCAACTGTGAGAGACTGTAGCAGGCAGCAAAGGGGTTAATTGGTGTAACAGGTAGGTCAGCCCAGACGTGGGGACCCCAAGAAGGAAATGCTTCAAAAAAATTCCATTTTAATTGTTTGATTTAAGCCTGTTTGGGAATTACTTTCACAATTTTCAAGATTGTGTTTTTATGCCTGAATATTGTTAAAGATTACAGTATAAACAGATGTAGTCTCACTTTTTGAATTGGCTAGCTATGTGGGCGTGACCCCTATAGAAAGTTGCCTTTTCCTTTCACAAAGAAGAGGTTTTATTTGTAGGCCTGATTTGCCATTTGGTTAAACCACCAGTGAACATTCATGTTTAATAAAAATGAGTTTCCATTCAATATTTAGATTCCATTCTTAACTCTATCTGCCCTCTTTCTTGGGCTGTTGCTTTTGGTACATCTGATTCAGGGGTGAAATCCAGGTTCTGGAGAACCAGTAGCGGAAATTTTGAGTAGTTCCGAGAACTGGCAAATACCACCTCTGGCTGGCCCCAGAGTGGGGTGGGAATGGAGATTTTGCAATATCCTTCCCCCAAGAGTGGGGAGGGAATGGGGATTTTACAGTATCCTTCCCCTGGAGTGGGGTGAGAATGGAGATTTTGCAGTATCCTTTCTCCTGCCATGCCCATCAAGCCACACCCGCCAAGCCACGCCCACAGAACCGGTAGTAAAAAACTTTGGATTTCACCACTGATCTGATTACATGTTATTCCTGGGTTAAGTCACTGAAATACAGATTTTTTTGTGATCTACATTTCCTGGGTTCTTTTATCAGCATTCTGTCAAAATAAAATGGTTCTCCATAGTACTCCATACTGCTCCAGACTCCAGACTCAGTTTCTTATTTAGTGGTAGCCTAGAGACCAACCTGTGTCCTTCAAATATATTGGGGGGAAAAGTCATAAAATTCTTAGCAGATACTGGCTTAGAATTCTGGGAATTGTCATCCTTCAACATTTAGAATGCACCAGGCTGGAGAAATATATTGTGTGGAAATGATAAAAAATCTTGCCTTGGTAAGATTTAATTTTGTAACATAAAAAAATTGTTAAAGACAAAGACTTTGAAGAGAGAGAACTAAATTATACTTGTTGATACTTTACTTATTGTTGCTGTAATGCAATGGATATTACACTAAGTAATTGTGAGTCCAAATTTTGCTAGGCAATCAAAATGAAAGGAAGCTTTTCCTTTGCTGCTCTCATTCACAAAGTTAATAAATTCACTTCCCTTTTTCTCCAGGGCGATACCCACAACAAAACAAAGGCACTTACATCCGCGTTCCTTTGGTTCAAGAGCTGGAAAGTGGGAAATGGGGTGCTAAGATCACCCACAGGGCCAACACTTCTGTGGCCCTGAATATTATGCCAGCTGCAAACTGCATTGTGGGAAAATTCCGCATGTATGTTGCAGTGCTGACTCCAATGGGTATTCTCAGAACAAGACGAAATCCAGACACCGATACTTACATATTGTTCAACCCCTGGTGTAAAGGTAAGGCATATACAGTGTGTATACGATCATGACAATAACATCCACATCTTAAGTGCAACTGTATCATTATAATTTATTCAAAAAGAACCTTAATCTGACTTTCTAAAGAGATGCAATTGAGAAGTCCAGTTAGTTAGTCTCATTCTACAATTTCTTTATGTTCATCATCCCACTTGTGTTACCAGAAACCTGTAGTTTATAGATAGGCACACTAATGGCTACTATTAGACAACTATTCTCCAGTCCCCTGTCATTTAACATTGGAATTTCATGGAAGCTGATGTCTAATTATTAGAGGATGCCAGATTAAGTAAATTTGCATCTAAATAGATAAATATAGAGATATTTTATTTTTATTTTATTTATTTTTAAATTTGTATACCGCCCTTCTCCCTGAGGACTCAGGGAGGTGAACAGCCAAGTAAAAGCATAAACTACAAACATTAAAATACAATTAAAAAGATATATATAAATTTGGCCCCATGATTAAAAACAATAACAAACAATTAAAAACATTTTAAAAAGTGTTAGGCCACCCCGGCTTGCTGGAAAAAGAAGGTTTTAAGGGTACAGCGGAAGGCACCGAGGTCTTGAATTCTCCTTATCTCTGGGGGCAGCTGATTCCAGAGGGTAGGTGCCCCCACAGAGAAGGCCCTCCCCCTGGGGGTCACCAGCCTACATTGTTTGGCTGATGGCACCCCGAGGAGGCCCTCTCTGTGGGAGTGCACAGGTCGATGGGAGGCAGTCGGTAGCAGCAGGCGGTCTCGAAGATAACTAGGTCCTATGCCATGGAGCGCTTTAAAGGTGATAACCAACACTTTGAAGCGCACCCGGAAGACCACTGGGAGCCAGTGCAGCTCACGCAGGAGAGGTGTTGTATGGGAGCGCCATGCGGCTCCTGTGACTACCCGTGCGGCTGCGGGTAGAATATTATCTAAAAGGTGGATAAGCTCACAATCTGAATTCAAGACATTTTCTCCACCCTAGGGGTGCCTCCATTCATCATTTTGAAATGGATGTTATTGAGGAAACTATAATCTTCCTTTCAGATAAATATAATACAATTAATGAGAAAGAAATAGAATGACAGAGACAGAACACAATCTCCTGGCTATATTGAATCGTCCCTTTGACAGGAGCAAATAGATTATTATTCCAAATGCATCACATCTAAAGCTTTCAATTAAAAAGAAAACAAGGATAGAGGGAGCATTGTGGAGGGAAGGTTTAATATTTTCCTCTACTACCATGATGTACCTGTAACAAGTGACAGTTTGCTCAGGACTGTGCTGGAATTTCCATTCACCATGTAATGGATTCCCAGTATATTTTTATTTATTCATGCATTCTGTCATTCTTTGAAAGGCTGCCTTGCTTTACATATTTAAGCATCCATCATTAAAAAAAAAACAACTGATATGTGGAAATGATCTACGTATCATCATTTCTTCCCCCAAAAAATGAAATTTAAGATGCCTGATTTTGGGATGCATTCAAGCCAATATTTTTTTATGTTCTCAGAAGAACATATGCCCTTTTTTGGAAAATCTGATGGAATAATGGCACAATACCAGTCAGGTCTCCACTTGTAGACATATAAAGATGCGTTTAGCTCATGATATTCCGAAATGATAAAGCCAGGAGCTTTGGATCAGCTGATCAGCAATCATTTACTAAATGTAGAGTCCTTTAGGACTAGTGAGTTTCCTTAATATTCATAGTTTATATAGATTTTTCTTTTTGGAGCTAAAATTTTCCCTGCAAAATCCAAAAATGTATTTAGGTAATATGGATTGGGTTAATATTCCTCCTTGTGTCTCGATCTTCACATGAACCAAGTGGCTATTTAAAAGTCTATATTCTGTACAAAAAGGAACCATGTTCATGCCTATCACAATGTGCAACTCTTACTAAACAGATTAATCCTTTAAATCATTTTGTGTAGAATTGCTCACAATTACGAAGTTTCAAAGTAATTCTTTGATCTGCCGTGTGGGTGCTTAATGCTCTCACAGCTCTCAGACATTTCAGTTTAATAACCCAGAATCATAAAGTGCCTGATAAGAGGTGACAATTTAATCATGCTTTACAGATCTTGCTCAAAATAGTTGAGAGTTGTGATCCTTCCTTTTTTTTTCTTCTTTTTTTTAATTTGGAGCATGTTTCATTTCCAGTTGCAGAGGAGAAAATATATTATATGCTGTGAGGAGATGAACAAAAGGCTGCCTTTTCTTATATCATTCAACTGTATTAAATTCCAATATTTACTCCTAGAAAAGTACATGTATTAACCTGTTTTTATAAACAAAAATCTGATGCAGAGGATGCGGTGTTTATGGATGAAGAAGAAGAAAGGAAAGAGTATGTCCTGAATGACCTTGGGGTTATTTTCTATGGGGCTCCTGAAAATATACGATCAAGAAGCTGGAACTATGGTCAGGTAAATCCATTTGAAATAAATGAAGAACAGCTTTTCTACTAAATGCTGCACTCCTAGCAAATAGATTGATCCTGTTGAAACCTGATCCACTCCTGCTTAGTCAAATACACCTAGGCAAATGAGTAAGGGTATATGGCTGGCTGCCCTGTAATACATAACAGAATTAATCAAAGGAATAAAAGTTTGAAAGGACTGAGCCGGTATCTCAGTCTGGAACACTTCGGTCCAGACGGATGATGTGTATATGTGTGTTTATGTTAGTTTTATATCTCACCTTTTGTTCCAACAACTAAAAATGGCACGCACAACATTTCCTTCTTCCATTTCTTCCTGCCTACAGCAACAACACTGTGAGGTAGGTTGAAATTAGTGTCTGGTCCCAAATCAGCCAGTGAGCTGAGGATGAGTCAATTAAGAATGGACTAAAACCTGTTTTTTGCCTAGTTTTTAAGTCTTAACCATAACCATCACACCACATTATTTGTAAAAACAACCACCACCTTCTTATATGGATTTGATCACAGATTTTTATTCTGATTTATCTGTGAGGTACATGGATATGACAAATATAAATTGAGAAAATGATGTATATTAATTGAAAAGCAGGTTCTCATTTTCTTTTAAAGTTTTTTTTAAAGAAACTCAACAAAATACAAATAGCAGAGGAACGCATCTTACCTGTTTCTCATCAAAAGCAACCATGGTCAATAACTCAAACTCAGACACCCAGTAGTGGTGAAGGTACTGGATGACAAGTAGGAATACTTAGGTTTTAGTCCATGTTCAACCAGAGCAACCATTTGAGTTGTTTATTCTCAGCCCAACCTATCTCACAGAGTTGTTCTTGCGGAGAAAGAAAGGAAGAGAAAGTGTTGTACACACTGTTTTGAACTCTTTTATGTATCTAATACTTAAGTAAACATCTAACGGTAATTATAACAGGTATTCAGCAGCTTCCAGCTTTTTTGAAGAGGCAATTTGGCATGATTATCTAACTGAATCAAACATTCAATGGGGCCCAAATTCCATAACCTACTGTTCTATTCTAATTTAAGATTAATGGGTAACTATGATCAGTGAAAGAAGAAAAGCTCCTTGGAAGGTAACTAGATGTAGAGGACATCTATAGAAGCAGTTGGACCAGCAGGTTCAGACAGTAGTGGTGGAGCCTGATCCTTTCTATATAGGATAAGCTGATAATAATTTGGTCTCTAAGCAGAACTTCATCATTGTGACTCCTATCTCCTTTATTATCTTAATTGCGAGAAGTTCAGTATCAGAGAAATAATCAATTTCTGGCATATACGCTTCCTAATTTTATTGGTACCATAAGTAGAACAATATCCAAGGAAAACTGGATCCCATTCCCGAATTTCCAGAAAATGCAGGTAGAAGTGTTCAAATGTGTAAGCCATCAGGCTTCTATATTTGCTAATATCTGCATCATCTTCACTTCAATCCTGTGTAAAGCAGAGTGCGATCCTTCTCAAAGTTTGGGATTACAGGGTCAAAACATGGAAAGATTTCTTGCCTCTGGGAAAGAGTGGCTTTCATACAGCTGTGTAGTATAACTCTTTTCCTAAGCATAAAGCAGGTTCCAGTAGTATCTCTCAATTCTTGGAGCAAGACATAAGGTTTATTGACTCATCTGTCAAAGGCAGGATGATCTGCTCTGTACAGGGCTATGGTCTTCTTATCAGCTTTATTTCCACCTTGTTTAGATTATATTTCAGCTCATTCATTTAACCACAGCCTCAGTACACTGGTTTAGAAATAAGACAATTGGTCTTTGATGCTTAGCTAATGAAATATAGAACTTGAGGGGGGAACAGTATTGGCTTATTTATGATGCCCATCAGCAAAGCTCTCGATGATTTCTGTCAGCAGCTTCCTATAGATTATAGATGATAGCAATCTCTGTGATAAAAGCTTGGTGGAATACCATATGTCAACTGCCAGAGGGCCAAGCTAGAATTACCAACGATGACCCATTCACTTCATTCTGGTTAGAAAATGGAATCACTCAGTAGACAGATCTAACCCCTGCAAGCTGTTCAAACAGGCTAACAGGATTAAATTATTTGTTACACAAAAGCCATGGTAAGGTCAGAAAGTACTGAGAAGGAAGACTCTCTGCCAAGTTCCTTGATGCAAATCTTTGCAAAATGGCTAAAGCGGAAGTGAAAAGATTCAGAAAAGGATTTCTCATCTAGACACAGCACCCATTATTCTGCTACTCCATAGTCAGTCAGCTTTTTGGAACTGGCCCAAATAACATCTGTCCTGATTACGGCCAATTATATTTTGCTGATTGATCCCCCCACAAAAATGCATAAGTTCATTCATTCATTTATTCATTTATTGATTCATTCCAACAAGATGTCCCGCTTTGGCATAATACCCTCTTTGGTCCACCCCATCACCCAAGATAACAAATTTGAACTCCTATATTTTCATTAATGAAAGATAACATTTATTTCATCACCATGAAAATGGACTGATTGGTCACATTTAGTAGAATCTAGCATAAGCCCAAGAGTGAAATGCTACCGATTCGGACCAGTTCACCCAAACCGGTAGTAATAAATGCTACCGGTTCGGACAAACCGGTAGTTTAAAAAATGCTACCAGTTCGGGCAAACTGGTATTTCCGACGATCAACTGTGCCACGCAATTTATATTCGCTAAAAAACAGGAAATCCTGCTTTCTAACGAATCTAAATCGTGCAACTCAGCTGTCCCCCCTCACTGTTCTACTTACCTTTGCAGACTCAGAAAAGGCTTCTTAATCCTCCTTTTTCAGTGCTGCGCAGTAGCACCTGCGGTATGGAAGCACGTTTGGTGTGCACTGTGCATGCGCGCGTGAAGTGAACTGGTAGCAAAGCAAACTGGTAGCAGACTTCAGAGCATTTCACCCCTGCATAAGGCATATTTTAAATCATCTCCAAATCAAGGACATTTCAAATAGTGAAAGAGAGATCAAATTGCTGGGGTCAACCACTGCTTGCAAAGATAATAAAATCCACAAAATAGAACAAGTATCTTATTTATCCCTTCTTCTCTCTTTCTAGAATCCAACAATCTAGAATCTAGATCGCTTGAGGTATATATTTTCCATGTCTTATTAGATATTGATAATGCTAAATATCTAGCTTTTAGACCTCCATTGGGCCAATTTAATCAATATGCTTGATGATAAAATAATGGAATATAGCCAACAATACATACTTTTAAATATATTTTTTTAAAAATAGTCCAAACAGAAAAAGAGCATTTAATTAGTATTAAATGTAAAATAGTGCATACATGTGCAGACAAATCCACAATTCTGAGGATGAAATCCCTGTTGAAAGTTCTGAGTAAGACTGCAAGGAATAGGAAGAAATAAGAATGATATTGCAGGGGCTGACTAGAAAGCATTATCCTGGAACAAATGATGAGACATTTATACAAGCAAGCTACAGCAGTAAATCCCCCCCCCCCGCCAACTACTTTGACATCTGCTGGAGGTCTAACTCAACTAAAAACAGAACATCCAATAAATGTTTTGATTTGTCTTGCTGTCAAGTCTATCTCTCAGAAGGTGGAAGAAGGGTCAAGAAGAACTATTGTCCTCCTGAAACCTGACCATCAGGGAAGAATTGGTTGACAGTGAATGTTGGCAGAAGCATTGGGGGGAAAGGGACACTGTCACTTTGGAATTCGATAGCAAGAGCTGTGAAAATGAAATGTAATTTGTATTTTGGAGTCTAGCAGACTGATTTCAGAAACTTCAGACAAAAATTGGATAGGATCTGATGCAGTGGTGAAATGTTAAATTTGTTACTACCAGTTCTGTGGGCGTGGCTTGGTGAGGGGGGGTAATATGACTGAGTGGGCGTGGCCTACTTTTTTTTTTTAACTTTTAAAACCATTTTTTCTACAACCTCTTCGGCTGAAGAGGTTGTAAAAAATGCTTTTAAAAGCCTCTGATGATCCCAGCTGACTTGCCTGATCGGCAGAGGCTTTTCTTTTTTTTTTAAGCCTCTGACCATCCCAGCTGACTTGCCTGATCGGCAGAGGCTTTGTTTTTACTTTTAAAAGCATTTTTTTTGACTGAAGAGGTTGTAGAAAATATGCTTTTAAAAATAAAATAAAAAGCCTCTGATGATTGCGCAGCTCAGCTGGGCTTGGGGGTGGGGAGGGATTTTTGCTACCGGTTCTCTGAACCACCTGCCACCATCGCTACGGGATCGGGCGATCTGATCCGAACAGGGAGCATTTCACTCCTGATTGATGTCTAAATATCATAAAGGAAAGCAAAATAAAGTGGGACTGGAGTAACAGAAAACTGAAATATAGACCTATCCATGGTTTTTGGGAGTAAGGTTGGAAAGTGATCTCCAGTTCTATTTTGAATATCTTTTAAATGTGCTTTTTTAAAAACTCATATCAATCCTGATTCTTCAGCATTGATCTTACCTTTGATTACTCTGATTACTGACTTTTTTTAGTCTTGATTATTGGCTTGATCACAGCTTCTTGTACCTGTTAACTCCCCTCTGCTCAATGTCTATGGAGATTCTCAGTCATCCAGGTCATGGTTGTCCCAAAGGTGCTTTTTCAAGAGGCAACTGGACTGAAGAAACTTCTTGGATGAGAAGCGAAATATCTTCACAGAAAAAACAGAAAGTGCAGTTGCCTCTTGAAAATCACCTGTGGGATCGCCTCTGCTCATTTTCTTTCACTAACTGGTGACAGAGTCTGTAATATGCAGAACCTTTTCAATTCCATCAGATTCTTTCTTAACTTGGTGTAAGTGGAATTGAAACTAAAGAGTAATCACTGTCATCTTGTTAATAAATCCAAAGGTCAGTGGTCCAAATGAAACAATAGAAGCAGACCCAGAACTCAAAAGCACCATGGACAGCAACTTAAGAAGCTGCTTTCTATTGAGCAGGCAAGTTGCTCCAGGTAGTCCAGTACAGTAATAAGTTGTATTGGAATGCTACATTAAATGT